TGAGAGCAACTTCACGTAACTTCACGGAACCCCATCAGTAGTGTGTCTCTATAATATTTAACTGTATGAAATGTTTTAGTGTCTATTGATATTCTATCTTGCTATATGATTACATTTCATCATAGAGTTGAGTAATGCACATTTTTTGTTCGGAAAATAAAAGTGCAAATTTTGTATTTCATACAATTATGCGTACATTTTGATAATTTATTTCAAGTTGAAATATGTAACGTGTGAGCAATTTATTTTGATTGAAGGTATCAAAAGAAAGTTGAGGGGGTAGTACAAATTGTTAATTTGGATACCGTATAAGTGTTTTTTTCTGCGGGCTCCAAATTCTGCGGTTTTTTCAAGTTTTGGCATGTTTTTATTTCTGCGGACTTTATTTCTGCGGCACATTCTTCGGACAAAACGTGATTAAAATTCTGCGACTCTTGTTATCAAAGTCTAAGTCACATTACTCTATTTTATTTGCATGTATTATATTTGTTTTTATGACTCAATCATTATGAAGCTTTATTCGTTTAATTGATTTTTTCTTTAATCGTGTATTTGCATGTCCCTATAGCTGTTTTCCCTTTTTTGTCTCTTAAAATTTCCTTGCAATAATAACACATTATTTGTTTTTAATTAATATATGTTTATGAAGAAGACACTGAACTTAGATAACAGCTGCGTATTTCAATGTTTTATTGCAATGTGTATGACACCAAAGGAGCATATTTATGCATTTATTGTCATTTTTTTATCGATATTATTGTATTTCAATGATATGTTACCAACCTTAAACGACAAAAATCTTTGAATCATTGTGTGTATCAATACAAAGAACTAGAGATTAATTAAACCAAAAATAGCTTCTTTTTTCTCACTACAGTATTTTAAATTATAATATCAAACCAATGTCTTAAACAAGTGTCGTTATGATATGTACGGTAGTTCAACATGTACAACTATGTTCAAAACATTGTAATCCCTTTCGACAAAGACTTGAAATTGTAACAATTTTTGACATAATTAAAAAAATATACACATTAACGTTTGAAATTAAGAAGCAATTCTATTATACATGTATACTATAATTCCCGAACAAGAATATTGTACAATAAGCATTTTAGCATCAGTTCACAGCAATGGACATTTAAGCAAATACTTGTAACATTAACACAATATGATATGACTATTTGATGCAGAGGTGTCTCTTTAATTCCGCTTCAACAAAAAAGAAGGAAACAATTTCACATATAAATTATTGTGCATATAATTAAAAGGGACACGATAAAGAATAAATCTTGATGGTTCAACGGAATGTGATTTATTGGTTACAAATTACTAGTAATACACTTTTAGAATTAACAATAGCTTTTTGTATTCAAATGAATATTTTAAGGAAGAAATGTTTTGGTTTCCATTTTCTGCAGCTTTCTTTTTGTTATTTGTGTGACTTGTTTGTTAATTTGTTGTTTATGTGTGTCGTTGTTTTGTTGTGTGAGGCTTGTTTATTTTGTGTAGTTCGTTTATTTTCATTGTTTTTTCTTTCATTGTTGACAAATTGACAAAAAGGGTAAAGCAAACAAATGACGAGCATGTATAGGCTGATCGGTCACCTCAGTTTGGAAAGTACTTTACTTACATGCGACTTCCTTGCCAACTTGATGTTCATATGCTTTACACTCAATCATAATCACCAAACCCCGCTTGTTAATGTAATTAAAGAAGATCTGGATATTTTTAAGTGAAAAGGGGTTATTAGGGGTACATAATCCGAGATAAATTCCAAGGTGAAGATATTAAAATTCTTTTAACAGAAGATTTCATGATGGAATGTTGTTTGCGGGGCATCCGTAGCAGAGTGGTTTGAAACCATTTGGTCCTCACTGCTGTGGGTTCGAAGCCCGAAAGGGATTTTGGATTCTTTAAGGAAAGGAAGATATCCAGCTAGGTTATGAAACGGCGGTGGTTCTACTCAGGTGCACGTTTGTACGGATGGACAGGTCTTCCCCGACTAGTAAAAGTTGAATGTCGCCATATGACCTATAACGTGTAAGTGAGACGTAAAACCTTACCAAAGAAAGATCAGATTATATTCTAAAAGAGCATATTGTTTCTAACCAAAGTTCTTCAAAAGTTGCAAACATAATAGTTTGTCTTGCTCATGTTTTCGTTGTACATCATAGAAAGGCACTAAGTTGCATTTCTAGTGCGTTATGGTAGAAAATAAATATAGGGGACAAGGCATTATTTTATAATTTGTATAGAAATCCTAAGAGACAACAGTATGTCATTTATTTTATTGCAGTCAATGCACCCATTTCTCTCCGTTTAAAGCTATATCATTATAATGCATACAATAGAGACCTTCGAAAACAGCCCTGCTGTTACAAAACCAATGAAGACAAATGTTTGAAATATTAAAACGTAATAAATTGCATTTTACATATTTTCAAAGTTTATAAATTTGTAAGAAATTTGTGAGTGGGAATTTCTGGCGAAAATATTGGTTTATCATGTCTTAGACTACAAACTGAGTAGGATAGTTTTTTGTTAAATAGGATAACATTGCTTGGATTACGGAGAGAAATGTCGAAAAATGAATCAAATTAATGCGAACTTGTGTTTTGGCTTTTAAATTAGCTTTGTTATTCATATATGTGAGAACATGCAATGAAGCAAACAACAACGTATTTGCATGCGTTATTCTAACAATTATAAATTATAAGTATTGTTACCGTCATATCCAAAATAAAGCATTATCCTTTTTCAAAGTAGTTGGAGTTTTTTCCCTAAAATACTTAATTCAAAACAATGAGATTTGGAGCTGGAATACGTGTTTCTGGCTTTTTGATGACCGATTACCTCGCAAGATAGCATAGCATTGTATAAACAACATTAATGAGAAGTTATTCAAGATTCACACATAGATTCTTATTCCTTCTGTTGTTCTTTTGTTTCTATTTATCCCAATGTCTATATGAAAATGTATTCATCAACGGAAATCAACTGTCTCCCCGAATATAGTCTGAAAGTTGTGAAAGTGTTAAACGTTTCCTTTTAAATATAAACAATAGTATGCATATGAGAATTTCTTAGATGAATACACAATACACACGAGTGATAAAGAAAAGACCTTCAGACTAAGTAAAATGATACCATTCGATGTGATAATAGAACAATTCTTTGCAGCTATTCTCGTAGGAGATATAATATCCTAATGAGGAGTTTTAAAGTCCTACGTAGGACTTACAAACTCCAACGTAGGACTTTATAACTCCTACGTAGGAGTTAAAAAAGTCTAATTAGGAGTTTATAACTCCTACGTATGACTTTATAACTCCTATGTAGGAGATAAAAAACCTAATTAGGAGTTTTAAAGTCCTACGTAGGACTTTGTAACTCCTACGTAAAAGATAAAAAAGCCTAATTAGGAGTTCATAACTCTTACGTAGGACTTTATAAGTGTTCTTCTACGTAGGAGTTATCAAGTCCTACGTAGGAGTTATAAACATCTAATTAGGCTTTTTTATCTCCTATGTAGTAGTTACAAAGTCCTACGTAGGACATACAAAGTCCTACGTAGGAGTTAAAAAGTCCTATTTAGGAGTTATAAAGGCCTACGTCGGAGTTACTAAGTCCTACGTAGGAGTTTAAAAGTCCTACGTAGGACTTATAAAGTCCTACGTAGGAGTTATAAACTCCTAATTAGGCTTTTGTAATCTCCTACGTAGTCCTACGTAGGAGTTACAAAGTCCTACATAGGAGTTTAAAAGTCCTACGTAGGAGTTATAAACTCCTAATTAGTTTTTTTTATCTCCTACGTAGGAGTTATCTTTTTTATAGAACATGTTAATTTAGCACCAGGACGCTTCCGTAAAATTCAGACTAACACAGAAAATAATTAAATTATGGTAAGTGTTAACAATGGAGAAAACAGAAAGGTATTGGGTGATACATTGCAATAAATGTCTTTAAGGTTAGAAATTATGGACCTCTTTTTCTAAATTTACATAATCTTGATAATGTACTTCTTATGTTATTGCTTATGTAACTTCTTTTTGTTGTTTCTCATTTCACTGCTTTTTATTGTTGTTTTGCTGCTGTTGTTTTTTTTTTCCAAGTCTTTTTCTTTACTTTATTTCCTAAATCTTGCTAAGAAATATGAATGCATTGATTGTTGCGAGTTATTCCAAAGATGGCACTAAAAATATTTATTGCATTTTAGCTGTTTATTTCGATGTTTCATTGTCTCTCTGCACAGATCATGTTAAATTGTATGACATTGCAGTAATATTCGCCAGGTTTTATGTTTGCTTAGATCGACGTTGTCTGAAATCAAGCAAAAGCCATCAAAGTCGATTTAAATTTAAACTATGAAAGATAAATTGAACAAACCCCAAATTTACAAGTGAACTGTTTGAAGGCATTGTTATTCCAAACGACAATAGTTTACCAACTGGTAAAGATAAATGTAATATTCTTCAGGTGAAGGTATGGCACAGTTACGATATATAACTATGAAAAAATGCTTATTAGCCATATGTGGGTTTTAAAAATATTGCATTTACGAAACACACGAATTTGCAAAACCGAAGCATGGCGATTCTATTATGAAACGTGAAGGGTAATTTTAAAGCGGAACTGGTGTATATCTGGTATAAAGACCGTTATCTGTAATAACCTTGTAGCAAATATCTGTGATATTAAAACATTGTCATGAATATTTCTTGATGAGTCCTAAATTTCGCACCCAACATAAAATGGAAGGAAACTAATTAATAGCAAAAACTAATTCATAGTCGATTTTTTATCGTCTCTTGTTTACAATCTGGTAGTTTTTAGTAAATTTTATAATTAGGTAATTATGTATGGCAAGAATGAAGACCAGAAATAAAAAGCAAATAATTGGTAAATAATTTGAAAATCTTACTCAAAACTACCATATTTTAAGCAAGAGGCGATAGAGATTCGAAAATGATCAGGAGTAGTCAAGAGAAGTACATGTGCACAATTCATCAGGTTTCTTTTTGAGTTCCTACTATAAGTTTTAAGATGAGTTTGAAAAATTAAATATGCTCATAAAAGTACATTAGATACAGGCAAATCAATGGTTGGTTATGCATGTGCTGGTCACATGCTAACTGATATTGTCTTTGTTCTCCTGTTAACAGAATAGATTCTGCATTAGTATACTCGTAAGATGGATATATGATAAGAATTATTGAATTTGTTAATTATGAGTAATCTTTTCTCGTACTATTCAACATTATGAATATGATAAAAAAAATGTTCCTAAACAATAAATAGCAAAGTTTGAATCTTATTGCAAGTGCGACTTTTCCAGTACCTTCCATGAACAGGCTCAATCAAACCGAGCCTGCAACATTTTCAATTTTGCCGTGTTGGGCTTTCTTTAGGGATTCTGTATTTATCTAATTTATGATCACATCCGTGTTATTTGTGCCGTGTGGCGGCTGTAAAAAGTCTCCCCGTACATTTAATCAATGATGTTACATTTTCGATCCTTGAAGATCGTTCAGCACGACATTATTGTTGTGCTTGTGGTATTTTTAGTTTCAACTTTTCGGCATTTTCTAGTTGGGTGGTTCCAGTATTCCTACTTGAATAATGTTGAATCACCCTTAGGATATGTTGCCTGCTTTTTAAACTTGTCTTTTGACGTCTTATCTGTGATATGCAGGCTTCATAACCTCTGATCCCCTTTCAAAATTCCATTTTATTTAGTTCCGCCCATTGTTTTCTCGTTTAGGGCACACGCTTTTTATTACTTGGGGACCATACGCCGCTTTTCATGGAATGGCACGGACGTGTCACATTGAAGCTTCCATGATAACCGCCGTATGAACACATCTGCGGATGTTTCTAAATTCAAAATTTTACTATTTCACGTTTAAATGTTGAATTCTGCTTAAGCCGGTGCTAGGGGGCGTGGACGGTAACTTGCACTTTCCAGTACCGTCCATGAACAGGCTCAATCAAACCGAGCCTGCAACATTTTCAATTTTGCCGTGTTGGGCTTTCTTTAGGGATTCTGTATTTATCTATTTCATAACCTCTGATCCCCTTTCAAAATTCCATTTTATTTAGTTCCGCCCATTGTTTTCTCGTTTAGGGCACACGCTTTTTATTACTTGGGGACCATACGCCGCTTTCAATGGAATGGCACGGTAGTGTCACATTGAAGGTTCCATGATAACCGCCGTATCAACACATCTGCGGATGTTTCTAAATTCAAAATTTTACTATTTCATGTTTAAATGTTGAATTCTGCTTAAGCCGGTGCTAGGGGGCGTGTACGATAACTTGCATTTTCCAGTACCGTCCATGAACAGGCTCAATCAAACCGAGCCTGCAACATTTTCAATTTTGCCGTGTTGGGCTTTCTTTAGGGATTCTGTATTTATCTAATTTATTATACATGTATATGTAAAATGTATGACACTTGTTCAACATAATTAGTGTAGGTACATCAGTGCAACATTGTCGTAGGTAAATGACAAAAACAAACTTTCTTTCTTTCTTTGAATTCGTAAATCGATATATATTTTTGGGCATACATTGATAAAATGACACTTTTGTACCATAACATTCATAACACTTTAATGCATTTGCATAGCATGACAAATAAAAACTCTATTGTTGACATAATATAATATTGTTTTTGTTTAGTTCTTATTCCGTTCCTTGTATTATCTTTCTCCGTGTAACCTTTGTTAATTGCTTCAATGTTTTAATAAGACTTTTGGTTACTGATGATTACATCCGCCAATACAAAGTCCACAGGATACTGCAATACAAACATGTAAGTGTGATCAAAATCGATCTTTTTTGTGTCTTTAACTACTATATCAACAAATACGTATATAGCACTTTTTCGTTACCTACATGGTGTTTCAAAGTTTAAATATTATATATAGTACATGCTATTTTTCACGTAAATAACCATTTTAGTTTCGTAACGAAAATGCTAAAAAACAAAGTTAACATTGTTAAATGAAGCGTTTAAAAGGTATATTTAACAACAATAGTATTGTCATGTAACAGCCTGATGTGAATTTAATTGTCAGTTTGGAACAAAAAAGTACTTAATCAATTGCTATCTTAAGCACATACTGCATTTCTTTTACTTACTTGAAGCCTCTCGAATCGCACTGATAGATCGTTTTCTTTTGGTTAGGAATTTTCTTTCAGAGAACATGACTTCATCACCTGTACAGAATTCAGCTATCCTATTTCCGAAATGAAACATTTCTTGTGCAGGAACTATTGCCTTTGATGTACATGTAAATGTCTGTGTGACATCATGGAAGCCTTTTCTCTGGAATAATTTTATATAACAATATAAAATAGAGAAACCCCTTAAGAAAGTCCAACACGGCAAAGGAATGGAAAATAATTTACCTTTCTGTCAATTTTTACTGTGTAACGTCACAATAAATGGTTATTTTAAGATATTTTTGATATATCATTTATTTTCGGTTATATTGAAATGTCGTGCATAAAACACTGATAATATTTTAAAGTCTCGCCCAGAACACCAAAAGTGAAAATGTTGCAGACTCGGTTTTATCGGAATTTTCCATGGACGACAGTTGTATATGCATGAAGCTGTCCTCGCCTTTCATTCTCTCCCCAGTGCTCAAGCCTAGCTTGAGGAAAATTTACAACATTTAAACATGATATTTTCTTTCCAAAATTTACATATTTTATTCAATGCAAATCCTCATTGCGATAATTTTATTGGACATGTACAAAGTGTTCAAAGGTTAGCGAATTGTTCAAAACGTAACATCTAATTTAACTTCAAGCAACATGTCATGAATAAATTACTTGTACACAAGTGTATAAACTCGTTTGCATTAATATTTGCAATAAACAGAAAAGTAATGAAAAAGTTCTATAACTACATTTATTGCCGTTTTATACAGGTCCATCATTTCACTCAATGTATGACGTGTTCTGAAGATATGACACCTCCGCATTTCGTTATTCCTGACCGCAGTGAAATTCTGAAAGGGTTTTAAACTAGTACAATTTAATTTATCAAATTATTGATATCCATTCGTATTCTTGTATCATCAAATAATTTATATAAAGGTTTTAACCTGTTAAATTGAGTTGGAATTGTTTGCATTTTCCAGTTCCAAAATTTTTTTCCGTAATTTTGGTTACTTTTACTTGTATGATATAAAATTTTATAAATCTGCACTTTTCAAGATATCGCAAGTTTTGTTTTATTGTTTATCGTTATTTACTTGCAATGTCTTCTGATTGTTTCAGCCTTGATAGTGTAAATGAATTACAGTGTTCAAAGTTATTATGTTCTGACAGTTGACTTTACTTCATCATGGAAGATGGAACAGCAAATACCAATACCAAGTTACAAAAAAACTTTACTTGCTGGAATAATAACAAATAGTGAATTAAAAGAGAATAATACACATAGCAGGTGTATACTGACTGGTAGTATATAAAGTTTAAAATCATACCGTGTTAAAGTCATGCAAATTAAGCGTTGAAACAATTTTGTCTGATAATGAATTTATCTTGATCAGCGCATATTGTCCCTGTTTGTCAAACACAGCATCTTCAACTGCAATGATCTTTCCTCCATAATGAGATTCAAAACTGTGTAACTGAAGTTAAACAAACATATCAAAATGCAAAAAATAACCTGAGAAAGGGAGATCTATTGAGAAAAGTGAAAACAATATTGATTACTTTAGTTTTAAATTTGTCAGACCTGGTGTAAGCAATAATCTATCTTGAAGACTATCCGGATCAATTGTCCTAAAGGACTGCAAAAATAACAACCTTGATATGGATAAAGGGACTTTATTTAACATCAGATACACAGTAGTTAAAACAGAGTCCGCAAATGTATACCTTTGAAGAGCTGTGAAACTTAAAGCAAATAAACATAACTTCTAGATTTGGTTTGATACATTCTAAATGCATGCAACAACTCTAACGACACCAAGCATAAGTTGAAAAGATATTCAATCATCATCACCGAAAATAAAATAATTTTTAGAAGTATAAGCCATTGTTAATATATGACATGATAACAACGCCACCTAGATACACTCATATCGATACGCTACCACAAATCTTTAGGGGCGTTTATAAATTTGCACGGCATTGGCTAAAATGGAAAATAGGTTAGATTTATCAAAAACGTACAACTTTGTTTGGTATTGATGCCATAATCGGTTCAGATATTTCTTGGATAGTTCCTGCAATTCTTTTAAGTAATTATTATTCAATTATAATAATTGCTTACCGTTTTGTTGTCATATCTTAAAATAATGCTACAGCTTCTTAATATCTAAAATCTTTATATAACTTAAAGTCGCTGTAGATTTGTTTACCTCTGGAACAGCTCTTGCTGCTACTGCAAAGAAAGCCAACAAACATATCTTTCTCGAGTCCTGAAAGTAATTCAGAGAAAAACCAAAATGTAAATCATTTCAACAAAACAAAGAAAATATTGATTTAGACGGACGCACATTGGCATTTAACAGAAATAACATTTACGTAAAAAAGGAGAAAAAAGACAGACAAAAACAAAACAAAACAAATAAACATTGAACTAAACCCCGAATTACTGTAGTGTTGTTAAAACTATATGAGTAGAATAATTAAAAAGTTTAAATTATTTATAAAAAGGGCTTAGGAAATTTAACAATATAAAAGCAAACTAGAAACTGGATAATTGTTAACTGCCAAGTATAAAGAATTAAAAAATAGATAAATACAGAATCCCTAAAGAAAGCCCAACACGACAAAATTGAAAATGTTGCAGGCTCGGTTTGATTGAGCCTGTTCATGGACGGTACTGGAAAGTGCAAGTTACCGTCCACGCCCCCTAGCACCGGCTTAAGCAGAATTCAACATTTAAGCATGGTAAAATTTTGGTTTTAGAAACATCCGCAGATGTGTTCATACGGCGGTTATCATGGAACCTTCAATGTGACACTTCCGTGCCATTCCATGAAATACGGCGTATGGTCCCCAAATAATAAAAAGCGTGTGCCCTAAACGAGAAAACAATGGGCGGAACTAAATAAAATGGAATTTTGAAAGGGGATCAGAGGTTATGAAGCCTGCATATCACAGATAAGACGTCAAAAGACAATTTTAAAAAAGCAGGCAACATATCCTAAGGGTGATTCAACATTATTCAAGTAGGAATATTGGAACCACCCAACTAGAAAATGCCGAAAAGTTGAAACTAAAAATACCACAAGCACAACAATAATGTCGTGCTGAACGATTTTCAAGGATCGAAAATATAACATCATTGATTAAATGTACGGGGAGACTTTTTACAGCCGCCACACGGCACAAATAACACGGATGTGACCATAAAATAGATAAATACAGAATCCCTAAAGAAAGCCCAACACGACAAAATTGAAAATGTTGCAGGCTCGGTTTGATTGAGCCTGTTCATGGACGGTACTGGAAAGTGCAAGTTACCGTCCACGCCCCCTAGCACCGGCTTAAGCAGAATTCAACATTTAAGCATGGTAAAATTTTGGTTTTAGAAACATCCGCAGATGTGTTCATACGGCGGTTATCATGGAACCTTCAATGTGACACTTCCGTGCCATTAAGACTCTTTTGAATTGCCATGAATTTATATTTGGTTAAAAAATGTGAAAAATATGAATATTATATCTAACTTTTTTTATAGATCTTGTTTAGTGTTTTTGTTCATAATCGAACTTGACCTTCAGTGTCCTGACGACTTTAACTGTAATTAATGGCCCATTGTCAAAGTATTTTCTCAGCTGTATGGACCATACCTCAGTCATTTTGCTGTTTTTGTGAAAACGTCAATATTGTGTACATATTGATATATGTATAATATACAACTGTACATCAACACTTTTATAAGGTTTTATTATAATTGTTTAGCTAAGAAGCTTTGAAGACAATTTCGATTAATTTCGATTAAAATAAATCGAATAAAGCATCATTTCAGCCTGTACATTTCATGGCTTTAAATTATCACATGTTTGTCTATTTATATTTTCATTATAAGTATATAACTCTCTTAAATATGTATATGATAATTGATCTAAATGAATAAATTTGAAGTTGACTCAGTATATCGCATTGTTTTATAATTGACGATATCTTTAATGCTATTTGTGTTGACTATTTTTTTGTCCATGGACCCGATTTTTATCAATTAATCCCTTCGATTTACAGCTAATAATAAATTTGGATGCAAGAATTCCTTCCGATTTCTGTTATGTAAAGTCATATATTGTTTTCCCATTCGGTGATTCGCAGTATGCCATATTAATGGATGAAAACGGGAACAAATTACATATATAAAAGCAGTATAAAAGACAAAATAAAAAATAAAACTTAAATTTGGTAATTTATATCTTACATTTGTATCTTATACAGGAAATTACTATTTTTTGTAGTAAACAGTGGGTTATATATGTATTTATTGTTGTACATGAATTCGAAAGCTATAATAGATATGACCTTCACATTGTGAAAGTTTGAAAATCTATTTAAGGTCATTTGTTTCGCGCTATGGTAAGGAATAACGAACGGGAGAGTTTTGCAGGAAATGAAATGCAAATATATTCAACCATAAATTGCACTCTTCATAAATTTATCCAAATAATTTATGGTCATTTTTACTTTTGTTTTATCATAGTACATGTATTATCATTTTTTAATTGTCTTTTCCGTCGGTAAATTAATAGCTCCTTTCTTTTTAACGACCTTGATTGCACTTCTGACATTTTTTTACCATCAACCCTGATTTCCCGATTTTTGCTGTAAGAAGTTGATTCTATTTTGTTTGAAAGCAATCGGTTGTATGGTGGTTGAGTCACAGTGGAATGTTGATTTGCCAAATACTGTAACATTTTAACAACAGAAACTTTCGTCAGCAGCTTTAACATGAGGTGTTAAAACTGGACGATGATTTGGAAGCAATTCAACAAAATAGTAGATTGATCTTCCAATAAATCAATTAACAATAGCTCTTTATTTATAATCAATGTCGAGTAGCTTTTATATCTATGACTCGCATGAACATGATGTTAGTGAATTTCCTCATATCTGTCTAAAATTCAGGTAACAGTCTTCCATTGATAAATAATGTTTCACTATATCAACATGCCATGCAAATTTATTCATGATGTTAAAGCTGCATGCCTCCTGATGAGTCAAAATATTTCAATAAAAATCAAACTTGATAAAAATGTATTAAGATGTAAGGAAAAGAAAAATGCTTCAAGATTTAAGAAATATCTTACATATTATGTGCAATTAATGACTGATTTTTCGGTATTTACAACTATATTTCTACTGCGTTATTAACGCAGTAAGGGCTATTTATGCATATTTTAATGACCTTTTAGTAATTTACGTTGGTTGTCAGTGGCATTGAAAATGTGTAAATTGCTTCATTTTGGTTACTTCACAATATTAAACATCCAGATACATTTTCAATTTTTCATGAAAATTACCATAACTCTGGAGGCGTGCTGCTTTAATGTACCATTATTTTTTGTAAACGCGTATAACAAAAAAAATCCTGACTTTGGTCTTTTGAAATTCATCCCAAAGTTTTGATTTCAGTGTGTGTTCTACTTTCAGTATATATCTGGGTCTTAGAATAAAGCTACTGTATCTTAACTCCCAGGTATTAAAATAAACCACTATTCTTAATTTGACATGAAAAGAAATGCATGTAAGATTACTATATTAATCCATTTTATTGCAATGTTTATATTCTTTTTGTATATTTGTTACAATTGTAATAATAAAAAACAAACTTTGTTCATTTTGACAACTGTTTTGTATGTTCCAAAAAAAAAAAAATACATTTAATATTCTTATCTCTAGCAAGCCTACCAAAGTTCATGCTGAACAATGTCTTTCGTCCGCCCATTCATCTATGATATACATGTACATTATTCTGGTAAAATCCAATTAACCATTGAAAAGTTTATAAGAATATCTTGTCATCAGATGTCTACTAGGTCATCGTCACTTGCTGCATTTCTAGCTTAGATGCCCTTTGATAATGTACACTAGTACTTAATCTAAATAGAAAATGATCTGTGCGCAGGAATGACTTGAAAATGTATCTGTAATGCTTCTCAATTGCTGCATTGCAGCACCATTTGTACTTGTTCGCTCCAGAATTTACACTCCGTCTGTCATTTACTTTATTTTATACAATTCAGGACTGACAATCAACTGCCATTAATATATTACAGCGGCCATATAATTTATGTATACAACAGAAGTGATGTTAACAAGCTACCAATCATGCTCTCTAGCACGGTTTAAGCAGAATTTACCATTTTTATGTGATAAGAATGAATTTTTAAATTTTAAATCATCCGCAGATGCGTTTAATCATTTGCATTTAACTTACAACGATATCAATGTTTATCTTTTCTTCCGTCTTTAAAATACATTAATCTGTTTTGAAAAAAATCTCAATACATGTAGTAACATGACTGTGTTAAAGATTATTTTATTAATAACTTATTAGAGGACACCTTTGTAAAATTTAATTTTCAATGTAATTTACTTTTAAATATGCACAACTTACCATATTAATTGTTATCCTTTATTTATGTATGATCCCCCTAAACATAGAATGCCCTCAAATAGATCAGAATCAGTCTGTGTAGCGATTGCTTTAGGTGAGTATTTATATATTTCTACAAATGGCAATGCCCTTTTAAATGAAATCATAAACAACACAAAGGCAGTACTGTAGTGGTCATTGCCGTTGCTTATCTTTGACATTAAGAGAAAAATATCCGTATCCGTAACCTGTCTAATCATTGTAAAATATATTATGTTAATTCAATGGGTTATTTGTTTACAAGCAATTAAATGTCAGTAAGCGACTAGGAATTTCATCATTAATTTCATCACATTTAGGTTTTATTATTCTCATTTGCATACGCCCTTCTATATTTATTGGCTTCTTTATCAGAGACATAAATTTATGACATGTTGATCAAATGTCATAATTTGTCTTTAATTTAATTATAAAATTATTTATACAAATTGTGAAATACTTTAAGTCCGGGGTTGTTTTGTTTTTTTTTGCCTAGTAACATTAAATATTTAATTTTTATAACAAAAATGATATATTCAAAGAAGAGCCTAATTATTTGCTGCATTGCTTGAAATAAATAAAACAAAGTCCGAGGGTTTGAAATATTTCACACACTGAACAAGTAAAATTATTATTTGAAAGCAAATAATAGTAAAAATGACCGAAAAAAACAAAGGAATGAAAGGATTTAGATTCGGTATAATATAACAAACAAAAAAACATGGCATTTCGGGCAAAATGCGCTTCGGGCCATAAACCTTCCTCAGTCTGACCAACCAGTCCGTAAACTTGCATATTACCCTCAAGGTAATGTTTTATTTGTTAATAAACAGGTTTTAAGGAGCTGCTCTGGTACAAAGCGGTAAATCGAATGACACTACTAAATTTTTATGTGTATCCCTTTTTATAAGCTAGTAATAGACTGCTCTAAATTCAATTTGATAATGCAGTGTACATTGTATCTTCTCACTTACACGAAAAAAAGCAAATTTGTAAATTGGTTAGGGATAAGTAACTGAATAAAAACTTGCATACTATATATAAACGTGATGCCGATTATGAATACAAAAGATAGCAATCTTTTTTTTTATCACAGAAAATTAACACACATGGCTTATTGTGAATGTTTTGGATCTCATGATATCTTCGGATAGTTTATGGGCCATCCTCAACTTGTTGAATGTGATGTCCGTCATCGCGAAGCATTTCAACATCTTTGAAACATAGAACAGCCTATCTGATAATCTCGGATGATCAGTTATAAAGGTGTATGACAAAATATTCAACTAAGCCTATGTGTTTTTTCTTCTGAATACATCAATTTCAATGGTATAAACTTCGTTACATCTGATATTTTACAAATGTGTTGTTTGTCCTGCAGCCAGTTAATTAATCATCACGGGTACAGTACTGTCGATTAAGGAAGAAAAAGCACGATTTTGGAGACTTTTTTCGTAAGATATGTATTGTAATTACATATATTATTCTTATATAAGATTAGTGTACTTTCATAAATTTTAAGTCGAGTTCAAATTTGGCATAAATCAATATTTGTTTTTACATAGATTCGTAGTATGTGGAATGCCCGTGACCGTGTCTTTATGGTCCATAATTTCAAACCACCTACCTTTTATCATCGTGACGTTTAATCCTGTCAGAGGGTTTAATTCTTTCCACGTTATGAACATACGGATTGTTGAGGTACAGCCTTGTCTGATATAATGCACGGAAGACTAACTAAAATTTTCCTTCATGGCTAAGCTGTAAAATCGGCATAATCATGGTTTAAACTATTAAAAGTGAATCTAGAATAACCAGGGATTAGTATTGTACGTTTGTAAATTTGATTGTATGACACTGTCTCTATAATGCATATTATGGTTACTTTTATATTTGCATATAAGTAAGATGGAATCATCAATGCAAGGTTATCCCCAATTTTGCCATAGCAAAGAAGGCATAAATTCGTATCCCTGTCTATGTATTCATGTGTGCGTCACCTCGTTCGGTGAAGACTTATTACGTTAAACAGCCTTCATGGATTCAATTAAAAGTTGGTGTCCATAAACACTGAAGTCTAATGCTACTATAATTTAAAGCTTTTTTATTAGAGCCCGTGAAATATACGAAAAATAACTTTTACTATCGCATTAGTATTTATATTCGATGTAATTTGAGCACATACTATTTGAAATAAATGAATATATTGGTTCACACATTAAGCAAGGTTTTCAAACACAAGTTCAAACAAATATATTTGCATATATTCATCTAGAATAATACAAATAAGTAGCAGAAAAATACTTTGTATTCAATCTCTTAAATTTTGAACATATAATAAAAATGATTATATAACCTGGATGTGGGGTGCATATTATTTCGAAAGAATATTGTTCACAAGTTTAATGCTGACTAGAACTAATTTTCTATATTATTGCATCTGTTACAAAGCAGATAACCGTGCATTTTAGAGGATCAGGGTTCTTAACATGTTTACTTTCCCGTAAATTTTTTATCATCATAAGTGGTGTAAATAACCAGGATGCAGGATGTTTATGAATATATAAAACTCCACATTTCTTTGTAGCACACACATTTCATGGAAAAACAACTTCGAACTGATAAACGCAAATTGCGTTTATACTATTTATTCACTTAAATAAACAATAAAATTTAAATTTAATTAATTAAATTTAAATAACAATTCATAATGAAAAAAACAGGATGTAGGTACATTTCGGAGCAGGAAAACTATTTATTCACTCTGTCAAATTTAAATAACAATTCATAATGTAAAAAAAACAGGATGTAGAATTTATTTCGATAATTATTCATTACCACATATATCTGCGAAACATTACGCACACAAGTTTAAAAGAAAATAACTGGACAAGTAAAAATTTGCAGGAAGTATTCATCTAAATGTCAACAAATAGTGATAAAATGCAGGATATCAAATACAATTAGTTTCTTATATTCAGTCGTTCCCTGTTAATTTTACAGGAAGTCAAACTGATAAGAGACGGACTTCGTCCGAAAAACATAACAGACGGACTTCTTCCGAAAAACATAACGCTAAATTGTGTTGTAAGTGACGGTTTTTAATATAACATATTATAACATTTAACAGTAATCGAACAGACAAATGCGTATTTTGGTGCAGCTTGGTACTTATTATTCACCATGCTTTTTCCATCATTGGTTGGGAAGATAACCGAGATGTGGGGTGTATATGAATATATAAATCCGCATATTTCAGAGTATGAAAAATAAAGTTTATGTTTGATAAAATACAACTAAATCGTACTGTTCCTAACGGTAACACTAATATTGTAATCGAACAGATTTTTTAGCTGCGGGTATTTTTTACTAACTACTTATCATTTTAGCACACAAGTTTTAAAGAAAACAAGTAAAGCCTAAATTAGCCGTGGATGACGATAATTAATAAATGTTAACAATTGCAATGTATTTTGTGATGTATGGATTAAATTTCAAGTTCCTGTGAATTAACAATTACGCACAAACGTTTTATTGATATGTCTGTTGCTGACGTTTATAGATAACCTGTGAACTGTTATCGGACAGATAAACACGAATTTTAAAACCGCTTGGTACTAATAATTTTTGTATTTTTTATTATCTTAAGTGGTAAAAATAACCAGGATGTGGGTTATATATGAATATATAATTATATATTTCTGAGTAAGCCATAGACCAAACGTTTCTATTTAAGTTTTTAACACACACGTTTAATGGAAATAACTTAAGGCTAAAGTGTGCTGAAGCTGACAGTTAGTATCATAAGTGCTGAAACCATGCATTTTTCATTTCAGTAAAGTGTTAAATTTGTTTTAGAAATTAAGTCTTGAAGTATCGTTACAAGTGATCATGATTCGCTAATAAAGTCCATTTTTTCATTTGTGAAAATATTATGCAGAAGGTCCTTTTGGTAATACGTCACGAAAGTCCTCTCACGGATGAAACCGATTCTAGCTATTTTCATTTCAATACATAATAACTGCAAAACTTGTTATGTTTTGTTATGAATAACCATTAATACTTCGGATTTAGTTAATGCTTTTTTAATTTGCAAATTAATTGGTTTACAACACTTAAATGTGCATGGTCAGTATAAAATCTCTAAAAAGCTAATTTCAGCTGTGGCTGACGGTTATTGATAACATAAATATTATACCTCATTTGCATATGCACTTCTATATTTAACATATATAAACGGCAACACAAACAGACGATATTTTCAAACTGTCAAAATTTGATTTACAAAACAAGAAATGTAATTAGTGCTCGCCAATTTTTTTAAGCAAATCACCGACGAGAATTTTTCAAATTTTCAGGTTTCAAATCTTAATAGAACAGATTTTATATAAACTGGACGTTTTATATTATAAAACGCAAGTGGGCGGAGCTAAGTTTCGAATAGCGCTAAAGTGAAATATACGCATGTGCAGAGATCTTGAAGTTTACTCCTACTAATCAATATTTATGCATCATGTTTCTTCCGTACACGCACATGTATATCGTCACTACGGCATAGAATTAAAAAAAAGAGGTTCATTGAAATGAAAACAGGCAAAATAACAGTAAAAATGTTTTATTACTGACGGAACCAGTATCATTTTATAATTTCCAAATAAAAAGTTCACTTATTCCAACAAAGTATGTATGTAATATTTCTTACTTTTGATGTAAATATAACAGCCCGTGCCGCTGCAAAACCGAAAGTAGGGTGTTTTTATTAATTTTACATTTATTTTTTACAATACACTGCCATTTGTCCGAAGATGATATGTATATGAACATAATAAATATGTATGATGCATATTTAATCAAGCTACAGGTTCATTTCAGCCCGAAAAATATGTCGAGGTGACGGGCGAGGCAAGACATGTCGACTTTTTGTAGCTTATTGTGAAGTTGCAGTACATGAAAATCGGGCACATGACAAATCAGCACATAAATAAAACAGTCTAGTGTTCCGTGGTATACATCTTTTCTACGTGTCATACATGTACCTACTTTCCTTATTACAATGAATTTTTACTGCATTGTTATCC